CACTACAGTGGTACTGTGTCCTCCCTGGAGGCGTGCGTCCGACCCAAACTCGGCGGCGAGCGAGGCGGGGGCAATGAGAAGGAGAAGGCATTTTCAGAAGTCGGCGGGACTTCCCAGAAGTCCTCGCGCGTCATCGCGCCCTCCGAGAAGTTTTTGTCTGTCTTCGGGGAAGGCTTAGAAAACTTCCCAGAAGGCAGGGGGACTTCTGAACCTTCTGAGACGGCCTCCACTGAAGGGGCCCTGGGACATACAAATACATACACACGAATAAAAGGTTACTTGCGTCTGTGTTTCTTCTGCTCCTGATTCTCCTTCTCACTTCCCCCACTCGCTCGCCGCCGACAATCATGCCGTAAGCAGATCGTCTCCCGAGCTGCATGGCCAACAAGCGCCCGCCACGGAGCCCGCACGAGCCTTGGGGCCCGACGCCTCCCCAACAACGCAGGTTAGGCGCGATCCCGCGAGCGGCGCACCTGTCCCTGCCGTCGGACTTCATTGGACAGGACACGCGAGAGGACAAAACACCCGTCCGAGGGCCACATTGCCACAGAACTGCAGGAGGCATGGGTCGCAAGACACAGGACACGAGGGTACCCTTGATCTGGCAGGGTCGACCTACTAATCCGGGCCGACTGTACCAGCTCACGGCCCGCCCAATCCAGCTCCGGGCCTGAGGGTGCAAACGCCGTGGGCCCGAATAGCCGCTCGGGGATTGACCGACCCAGGCAAATCCAAACCCGGGTCAGTCGGGCCTCGCAGGATCCTGCAGGATCCTGCAGGATCCTGCACCCAAACCCGAGTCAATGCGACCCTGACCCTGCAGGATCCTCCAAGATCCGGCGCTCTGACTGACCCCCGTTTGCATCGGCCCCCCCAATCCCTTGAGCCCAGAGCCGTCCCGCCGTCTTCTGTGGCCGTCCGCTGCCGTCGTCCGTCGCCCGTCCGTCGTCCGCCGTCGTCCGCCGTCGCCCGTCCGTCGCCCGTCCGTCGTCCGTCGTCCGCCGTCGCCCGTCATGCGCCCGCCGGCGTCAGCTGTCGTCCGCCGTCGTGGGAGGGCGCGGCGCGGCGCCTCCCGGGAGGGCCGCCTGAAGGGGGGGCCGCGGGGCAGGTTTAGAGGCGGGGGGGAAGCGCGCCGCGGCGGGGCCTCGCGGCCGCCGTGCCCTGCCCCGCTCTGGATGAGGGGGTGGATGATGGACAAATTTTCCACCACCACTACGATAGCAAGGACAGGGGAGAAGAGAGGATGGGGAGCTCCTCCTCCTCCTCCTCCTCCTCCTCCTCCTCCTCCTCCCCCTCCTCCTCCTCCCCCTCCTCATCCACCTCCCCACTCTCCTACCGATGGTCGTGGTGGTGGAGAATAGGCCCATCAGCGGAGGGGAGAGGATTAGCGGTCAGCCAGGGGGGGGGGAGCGAGGAGGGGCGGGCTTTCGCGAAAGGCGCGGGAAGCCTCGGGCCTTCTGAAAGACTCTCGGGGCCTCCCCCGAGGACCGGGGAAGCTTCTCAGAAGGCGCCAGGGCTTTTGAGAAGCCCGACCGCCTTCTGACAAGGCCACTGCCTTCTCACGTAACGTCCCCCCCCCCGCCCGGGCGCGAGACGAGGGACGGGGAAGGGGAGGGAGAAGGGGAGGTGAGGGGTGAGACGGGAGCTGGAGGGCATGGACAGGCACACCAACACCAACACAGGGGGTTGCCTCCACCAGGGGATGATCATCTTAGATTCGGGGATGGGGGAGGGGATGGGGGACTAGGACTACAGCCAGACATGGGCCAGAAGAACATCTCTCAAGAACATGAAACCCTCCATAGGCCAGACAAACAGAACATCCAAAGGTATCCTCCCAAGGTGCACAAAAACACCAAACAAACACGAAGAACATTGGGGTACCCTCCCCGAACCGACCTCTATCTGATACTTCGGTCCGATTGTATTACAAATTTGGAGATGGGGGGGGGCGAGAAGGGGGGAAGGGAAGAGGGAGGGGAGCAGAGGGTCGAGCCGAGCGTCCCTGGGTTGGCCATATCAAGAAAAGAGACGCGCTGAAACTAGAAGCAGACACATACAGAAAAGAGTGTACCAGGCTGGGTGCTCGGGGTCTCTGGACACGAATGGAAATAACGGATGCGGGAAAAGCACAGAAGTAGCGCATAACAAAGAGACGGGGCCTCCGGCTAAAAAGCATGATACCGAAACGTGATGACATATTGTATGTGTATATATGTATATACATACATGGGCGAGAGAACGCGTTTCACGGGCGTTTGCCTTGGGAACATTCGGCGGCGCGTTTCGAACGGGGGGGTGGCCCCCTCTTAACACTCGGCGCCGTCGATCAAAACAACGGGGACTCCCGTCCCCCCCAACCGTTCACCCTCCTGAACCCCCCCTCCCCCGCCCCCCCCTGGCGCCGGCGCCGGCGGCCGCCAGCAGCGCCGACGGCGGGGACGCAGCGACGATGACCAGAAGCAGCCAAAGGGGGGGGAGGGGGGGGGGGTTGAAACCCCCCCTCCCCCCCTTGCGCCGGGGAGGGGGGGGGGTGAACATCCCCCCCATCCCCCCTTGTGCCGGCGCCGGCGCTGGGGGCGGCCAGCAGCGCCGGCGCTGGCGCCGGCGGACCGGGCGGGTGACGCCAGCGACGAAAACCACCACGACGACCACCACCACAACCACCACGCCCCACCGCCTCAACCCAACCACCAACGCCACCACGCACCAACCCCCACACCAACAACCACTACGACACACAGCCACCGACCCAAACAACCACCACCATCACAACTCGACAATCCACCACCACCACCACAAACCCACCACCACTACCACCACCACCACCACCACCACCACCACCACCACCACCGACCACGATCAACCACGATCCACCACCACCACCGCCACAACCACCACCACTACCAGCAGCACAACCAACCACCATCACCACAAACCACCACACCACCACCACCACTACCACCACCGCCACCACCACCACCACCACCACCACCAGCACCACCTCCACAAACCACCGCCACCACCACAACCCACCACCACCACCACCAACTACCACCACACCACCACAAAACCAACACCACCACAACCCACCACCGCCAACACCACCATCACACACCACCACCACCACAAACCACCACCAAACCACCACCACCACCACCACTACCACCCACCACCGCTACCACCCACGACCACAACTACCAACACCACACCACCACAACCACAACCACAACCACCGCCAGCACCACCACCACAACCCACCACCACCACCACCACCATCACCACCACCGTCGTCGTCGGCGCTCCCCGCCGCCGCCGTCCGCCGCCGCAGGCGCTGGCGCTGGCCCAGAAAAGGAAATCGTCGTCCCCGCCGCCGCCGCCAGCCGCCGCCGCCGCCAGCCGCCGCCGCCGCCCTAAAGAAGGGGGGGGTCCGGTCCCCCCCCCTCCAAAAAAAATAAAAACAAAAAAAAAAAAAAAAAAGTAACAAAAAAAAAAAAAAAAAAAAAAATGTACCAAACAAAAAAAAAACAAAAAAAAAAAAATAAAGTAAAATAAAAAAAAAAAAAAAAAAAAAAAAAACCACACATAAAACCACCAACCCTCCGCTCACACACGCCCACCCCCACCCAAACCCCCCACCCCCCAACACCCTCCCATCCCCCCCCCCCCCCCCCAAGCAGCCCCTCCCCCCTCCCACCCACCACCTACCAATCCCCCCCCCCCCCCCACCACCCCCCCCCCCCATCCCCTCGCCCACATACCTCGCTCACTCGTTTATGTAATCTGTCAACTCGTGCGTAAAACATTAATAACCTCCATTCAAACACTCAAACATACTTCATAAATAATCGAACAATCTATATATTCACACACATACATAAACATAAACATAAGCATACACATACACATAAACATAAGCATATGCATAAGCATAACATACACATACACATACACATACACATACACATACACATACACATACACATACACATACACATACACATACACATACACATACACATACACATACACATGCACATGCACATGCACATACACATACACATACACATACACATATTTATACACATACACATGTACATACATGCATGCATGCATACATACTTACATACATATCGAAAATTCGATGTTACCACCAAGCGTGAAGAAAATCAACAAAATTCGAAATAACACATAAAAAACGTATTGAAGCCCTCACGAAGTCCCCGGAAATCCACAGTCATCCGTAGGAGAGTGCTCAGGATCCGTGGGACATCTGAAAGACACGATGAAAACATACATGAATTGGATTCCCAAGATTCCGTATGAGATGCAAAGTAGTTAATCGGATCCTTCGCACATCAAAAGGAATCCCACCAGCCCTCTGGGCGTCGGTGGTTTAACGAGTTTCCTCTTCCACCCCTCCCTCTTCCCCTTCGGGGAGGGGTTTACCCCTCCCCCTACCCCCTCCCCACTGACCTGGACAGGAGGGGCGGGGAGCGGTCAGAGCGTCCAAAACGGCCCCGGCGAGGAAGCCAAAAACATTGATTTGACTATGGTTTTGGCCCCATTTGGGCCTTCTTAGGGGGCAACGCTAATTAAGGCCCCCCTCTTCTTTGATCGATTTCCTCCACGATGGCCGCAAGAGGCCCCCAGGATGCCCCAAGAGGCCGCAGGATGGCCCCAAGATGGCCCCAAGAGGCCCCCCAAGAGGCCCCCAGGAGGCCCCCAAGAGACCCCCAAGAGGCCCCCAAGATGGCCCAAGAGGCCCCACGAGGTCCCCCAGGAGCCCCAAAGAGGATCCCGAACGGCCCACAGAGGCCCCCCCGTGGCACCCAAGACGCCGAAAAGCCCCTCAGGACGACCCTCTACTCGCCTGGGCGTCGTTTCTGGACGGGCTGGTGGGGATACGCGAAGCGTCTAGAATTCGTTGTAATCACCAAGGGGGCCCATACAAAGACGCGGGAAAGTGTAAAAAGCACAACAAACTGCGCAAGGAGAACCTGTGAATACTTGAGGCGCAGTGAAATAAGCTCCAGATATTCGTAAGAACCCCCCTTGGAAATCAGCCACTGGATGCACATCTTGGATCACCAAAAACACTCCTCAACAACTACAGGAATTAACAAGCTTGCGTGATAGCTGGGAAGCATGAGGACTCAGTCTTCATCCAAGTCGCCATTATTCCCCATCGATCTGGCACGATATACGACTTCACACTTGCGCATTCCACTTCCATCTACAAGCAAGATGATATCACCCCGACTTCGATAGCGCATTCTTCGCAATCTGAAGCACTCATTATTGACATCATGGTCTTTCTGAGATCGCACATGCTCTCGGGGAAAATGACGCAGTGCCGAAAAACGAGCCGGCACTAGCATTACGACCATTGTGTGGTTGTTCTCATCTGGGCTGAGCTCACGGTACACGTCGCCAGACGCGAGCGGCTTGCAATTATGGCAATACGCGGAGTCCCAATGCGCGCCCCCTCTCAGCCCCTGCCCTCCACCCTTTCCTCCCAGTCCCGTTTGCGAGCCGGGACTGCTGTCTCGTTCGAGGGCTGCCCACCATGAACCGCTCACAATCGACAAAGACCTGGGATTCACGCACGACAAACCCGCCTTGGGGGTCGGATGCGCCCGTCCTGGGCCTACAAGAGGCCCCGCCAGGATCCGGTTTGGCTCCATCTTCTCCCCATCCCTCCTCCCCAGCTTTCCGCTCTGTCCTGCCTGTCCCTTTTCCTCCTCCTCCTCCTCCTCTTCAAGCTCTTCCTCCTCCTTCTCCTCCACCACCACGTCCTCCTCCTGCTCCTCCTCGTCCTCCTCCTCCTCCTCCTCCTCCTCCTCCTCGTCCTCCTCCTCCCTCCTCCTCCCTCCTCCTCCCTGCTCCTCCCTCCTCTTCCCTCCCTTTCCTTCCTCCTCCTCCTCCTCCTCCTCCTCCTCCCTCCCCCCCCCTCCCCCTCGAGGCCGGGGGATTGTGGAGTCGCTGTGGGTTTTAGACGAAAATTTACGATAGTTCAGTTTGTTCCTCATCATTATGCTGATGTTTCCTTTCTCGTTTTTTTTTGTTCTCTCTCTCTCTCTCTCAATCTCTCCCACTCCCATTCCCATTCCATTCCCATTCCCAATACCATTACCATTACCATTCCCATCCCAATTCCCGTTCCCATTCACATTACCGTTACCATTACCATTACCTTTACCTTTATCTTTACCTTTACCTGTACCATTACCATTACCATTACCATTGCCATTACAATTGCCAGTGCCATTACCAATGCCATTAAAATTGCCATTATCATTGCCATTGCCATTGCCAGTGCCGTTGCCATTGCCATGGTATTGCCACTGCCAGTAGCCACCCCGTTACCATTACCGTTACCATCACCATTACCATTCCCATTACCATTACCATTCGCCACCACCATTACCATTGCCATTCTCATTAGCATTACCAACACAATTGCCATTACCATTACCATTACCGCTGCCATCACCATTACAATTCCCATTCCCATCATCATTGCCATTACCATTACCGTTACCAGTAACATTTCCATTACCATTGCCATTACCTTTCCCACTACCACTACCATTTCCATTCCCGTTCCCGTTCCAATTACTACTACGATTCCCATTCCCATTCCCATTCCCATTCCCATTCCCATTCCCATTCCCATTACCATTACCATGACCATGACCATGACCATTGCCATGGCCATTGCTATTGCTATTGCCATTGCCGTTGCCGTTGCCATTCCCATTACCATTGCCAATCGCTACCCCGTTACCATTGCCATAACCATTACCATTACCGTTATCGTCACCATTACCATTCCCAGTACCATTATCATTACCACTGTCATTGCCATTACCATTACCAGTGCCATTGCCATTGCCATTCGCCAATACCATTACCATTGCCATTCGCCACTACCATTACCATTACCATTGCCATTGCCATTGCCCTTCGCCACTACCATTACCGTTGCCAGTACCATTACCATTCCGATTAACATTCCCATTCCCAATACCATTACCATTACCATTACCATTACAACTGCCATTGTCATTACCATTACCTTTACCTCTACCTTTACATTTACCCTTACCCTTACCATTCCCATTTCCGTTACCACTACCACTGCCATTTACATGCCCGTTCCCATTCCCATTCACATTCCCATTCCCGTTCCCATTCCCATTCACATTACCATTGCCATTACCATTATCATTGCCATGTCATTGCCATGGCCATTACCATTGCCATTGCCATTCCCATTGCCATTGCCATTACCGTTGCCGTTGTCATTATCATTGCCATTGCCAGTCGCCACCCCGTTACCACTATCATTACCGTTACCATTACCAGTACCATTACCATTGCCTCTGTCATTACCATTACCATTCGCATTGCCATTGCCATTGCCATTAGCCACTACCATTACCATTGCCAGTACCATGTCCATTGCCATTCCCATTCTCATGACCATTACCATTATACTTACCATTACCATTATCACTATCATTTCCATTACCATTACCTTTACCTCTACCTTTACCTTTACCTTACACTTATCATTCTCATTTCCGTTACCACTACCACTACCATTTCCATTCCCGTTCCCGTTCCTATTCCCATTCACATTCCCATTCCCGTTCCCATTCCCATTACCATTGCCATTATCATTACACTTACCATTGCCATTGCCATGGCCATTATCATTGTCGTTGCCATTGCCAATCTCATTGCCATTGTCATTACCATTACCGTTGCCATTGTCATTGCCATTGCCAATCGCTACCCCCCTTACCATTACCATTACCATTACCGTTACCATTATCAGTACCAGTACCATTACCTCTGTCATTACCATTACCATCACCATTGCCATTGCCATTGCCATTCGTCACTACCATTACCATTGCCAGTACCATTTCCACTCCCATTCCCATTACCATGATACTACCGCTGCCATTACCATTAGAATTCCCATTCTCATTCCCATTCCCAATACTATTACAATTTCCAGAACCATTACCATTACCATTACCAGTGCCATTACCATTATCACTACCACTATCATTTCCATTCCCGTTCCCGTTCACATTCCCCCTTCCATTCCCATTACCATTACCATTACCATTACCACTGCCATTGCCAGTACCACTACCATTACCATTACCTTTAACTCTACCTATACCTCTACCCTTACCATGACCATTACCATTGCCATGGTCATTACCATTGCCATTGCCATTGCCATTGTCATTGCCATTCCCATTGCCATTGCCATTAACATTACCATTACCGTTGCCATTGCCATTGTCTCGCTACCCCGTTGCCACTATCATTACCGTAACCATTACCAGTACCATTACCAGTACCATTACCATTACCATTACCATTGCCATTGCCATTGCCATTGCCATTGCCATTCGAGGATTTCAGTAGGAATCATTCAGTGGAGGGTTTCAGTAGGAATCCACATGTGGAGGATTTCGGTAGGAATCATTCAGTGGAGGGTTTCGATAGGAACCCTTCTGTCGAGGATTTTACTGTGAATCCTTCTGATGGGGGCGTCCAATAGGAATCCTTCTAGGGGGGAGAGCAGATGTGGTCACGTCGCATTCCTTGTTTTCTCCTGGCGCGCCCCCCCCCCCCAGAAACAAAAACTGATTTTTACCTAACAGCGAAGACTGATAGGTTTCTAGTAGTCTCAAAAGAGCTCACAGATCACTCCACAGGGAGGTCCGGGCAGGTGTTGGGAGTTGCCGGGCGGGTTGTGTCCACCTCGTTTTTCACCAACAGTCACACACTTCGTGCTCTTCGAGTTCCCAGAACTCCATTCCCAGGCTCATTCTGAATACCCGGATGCAACAGTCACACACTTCGTGCTCTTCGACATCCCAGAACGCCATTCCCGGGCCACCTTTAGAATAACCGGATGCAACAGTCACACACTTCGTGCTCTTCGAGTTCCCAGAACTCCATTCCCGGGCCACATTCTGGAGGGCCGGATGCAACAGTCACACACTTCGTGCTCTTCGACTTCCCAGAACCCCATTCCCGGGCCACATTTTGGATGCCCGGAGCCAACTGTAGGCCACTTCGTGCTCTTCGAGTTCCCAGAACTCCATTCCCGGGCCACATTTTGGATGCCCGGAGCCAACTGTAGGCCACTTCGTGCTCTTCGAGTTCCCAAAACTCCATTCCCGGGCCACATTTTGAATGCCCGGAGCCAACTGTAGGCCACTTCGTGCTCTTCGAGTTCCCAGAACTCCATTCCCGGGCCACATTTTGAATGCCCGGAGCCAACTGTAGGCCACTTCGTGCTCTTCGAGTTCCCAGAACGTCATTCCCGGGCCACATTTTGAATGCCCGTAGCGAACTGTAGGCAACTTCGTGCTTTTCGACTTCCCAGAACTCCGATTCCTGGGCCACATTTTCAGCAGGGGCAAGAGCACGACGAGGAGGAGGACGAGCAAGACCAGGAGGACGAGGACGAGCAGGAGCAGGACGAGGAGCAGGAGGAGCAGGAGATGAAGGACGAGCAGGAGGAGGAGGAGGACGAGCAGGAGGAGGAGGACGACCAGGAGGAGGAGGACGACCAGGAAG